CTTGCGCCTATAGGAAACCAGAACTCAGATCAAAAAGTCCTCACAAAATGAGGGCGAAATCTCTGGGTAGTGTCTTATCTAAAACCCAATCTGCCTTCTGAAAATTCCCTCGGGATCACACCCCAAAATGGAATTTTTCGGAGCCCACATATATAATATATATAGAGTAATTATTACTTTAAAAATGGCTTATGAGATGTTATTTTACTCGAATACAAATTTGGACTTTAATTTATACTCCTATTAAAAAGAGAAATCTTAGGCGTTAAAATATACTCGATTAAAATAAATCTCCACCTCTTGTTTATATCATTATTAAATATCAGCCTTTATATTCTTCAAAAAGAAAATTAGAACACTTAAAATATAGAATGAGAAAACAGCGAAGCCGAAGCATGCAAAGGAGATGAGAGAGTACTTGATCGACAATTGATGGCACGAGGAATAGAAAGAATCAAATGGAGACTTTAATTTATAGACTGTCGTAGGGAAAATTATTACGTGCGGTGTCCGGACTGTTCGGAGGCGAATCTGAATGCGCCACATCACCCGGATGCACCGGGGTCTGGGTGACGTGGCTAGTCCAAATTCGCCTCCGGACAAATCCGGACGTCGCACGTAATAATTGGCCCCGTCCTAGGGTGTCAAAACAGGTTGATGCATCAAATTCCGGAACAACTCAAAATTGATAATCCAATCAACCCGAACATGACCCATTTAATAAACATGTCAAAAATATCAATCTAAATATGACCTACTAGCAGCTCGAATGATTTGAACCTGGCCAATTAAGCTATTTTGATTAATTTTTTTTATAACTTATTAAATATTAGATTTAATATATTTGACAAAAAAATATACCTATAAGTAAAAAAAAAATTAAAGAAAAAAAGATATTAGACTAGTTATTTTCAGATCAAAAGCGAGATTGATCAACTTGAACCCAACCTATTTAATAAATATGTTTAAACACTCAATCTAATCCCAACTAATTTATTAAATGGGTCAACCCAAGTTCAAAATTTTTGGGTCGGGTTAGTGGGTTGGGTCATTTATTGACACCCCTTCGTGTCCCATCTAGAACAACTATTTACTAGTTAAAAAAAAAAAATTCACACAAAATACATATTGAAAGATTAATTTTTGAATCTTATATAGTTGAAAAGATATAATATATCATTTATTTTATTTACTTTGAATTATACATGACCACAAAATATAATCAAATGCCAATAAATGATACTGGAGGGAAAATATAGCTTCATGGGCTGGGCCACTTATAGATTTTAATCACTCTATAAACTATGAAGTTATTAAAAAAAAATTAAGAATCTCATAGTCTTTGATGACAGAGAAAACGGCATTAACGATTGATATGCTATCAACAAATCTATCAATGTAACAAACCTTTAGGATTGACTTTAGGACCATCTAATCTTTGATTTTGACAAAATTATATTCAAACCGAACATCTCGACGACATCACCAAAAATGATTAGATCTTGTCCAAATTATCATGATGGAAATTTCATGATATTGATTAGAGTAGAACATATAATCTTTGAATTTCGTACGCTTATTATCAAAATTAGCATTTCGCCAAGCGAAATTTATCGAGTTTAAGATTACTCAATTTTAAAGGCATTAATAGACTTAAATGCTGAAAGAATATTATATGATCAAACAAATTAGCACAAACTTTCTAATGAAGTATTTTGAGATT